AGCCCATGGTGGAAGGAACACCCCTCCATGGCCTCTGCATCAGCTCCTGCCTCCAGGTTCCTGCCCTGCTTGAGTTCCTGTCCTGACTCCGGTTAATGATGAACAGCGATGTGGAAGTGTAAGCCAGATAAACTCTTTCCTCCCCGACTTGCTTTTGGGTCATGGTGATGTTTCACAGCAATGGTCACCCTAGCTGAGACAAGTTGGTACCAGGATAGTGGGGTATTGCTGACAGGTCTGACCATGTTGTTTTGGGGAGGATTGTGGAAGGACTTTGGAATTTTGGACCAGCAAAACCCTTGAGTGCTGAGAGCTCAGTGGGCTGTTCTGTGGAAGCTCAGAAGATGAGAACATTGAGAGCCGTGCAGACGGTGGGGGCCTGGCTGCTTAAGTGTCAGAGGGAAGCAAAGACTCTCCTGGGCTTTTCGTGCGAAGAATCTGTGTTCCGGTTAGTCATGGCCGAAGACTCAGCCGTGATTAATGAGAGAACAGATTACTAAAGTGAGACCTTTGCTTTGCTGGAATACTTGATGCTGGTCAGCTGGAGCTGAGAAATTAGCAGAGATTAAGACGTGACCAGCATCTTTGAGGCGAAATCTTCTGGGAAGTGTTTCCTGAGAGTCAGCACACAGAAGCTGTGTTCCCAACATGGCCAACGTTGTGCCTTGAGCTGGCATCTGAACTTGGTAGTATAGGAACCACCCAGGTGCTACCGGTTTTGAAGGCATGAAGGGGTCGTGAAGAGCAGCTGAGGCTGGGCACTGTGTGGCAGGGCTGGAGTCATCCTTCGTTACACACAGAGGTTAAGGCTCTCCTGCGACACACAAGACCTTGTCTCAAAAACAAAAATAGGCTGGAGAGCCTGGTAGTGATGGCGCATGCCTTTAATCCCAGCACTGGGGAGGCACAGGGGTAGGGTGGTGTGATGTGGAGGAGAGCAAGGGAGTGGGCAGAGACAGTCGGATCTCTGTGAGTTTGAGGCCAGCCTGGTCTACAGAGACAGCCATGGCTACACAGTGAAACCCTGTCTTGAAAAACAAAACAAACCAACAACAAGGCTGGAGAGTTGAGTCAGCGTGCCTGCTGCTCTGCCAGCGCACCTGGGTTCGGTTTCTAGCACCCTGGAGTCACTCAATGCTGCCTGGACCTCCTGCTCCAGGGCATCTGATGCCCTCTGGTCTCTGTGGGCACCCGCACATAGACACACATAAATAACAAACTATAACAAAACCAAGAAAACAGTAAGCCTGCCCTGGGTTTTCTGAACAGGGAGGTTATTGGAGAGATTACCTAACTCTCTCTCCCATCTCCTGCACCAGCTGTCTTAGTCAGGGTGACTATTGCTGTGAAGAAACACCATGACCAACAGCAACTCGGGGAGGAAAGGGTTTATTAGGCTTACACTTCCACACCACTGTTCATCAATGAAAGAAGTCAGGACAGGAACTCAAGCAGGGCAGGAACCTGGAGGCAGGAGCTGATCTAGAGGGGATGGAGGGGTGCTGCTTACTGGCTTGCTCCTCATAGCTTGCTCAGCCTGCTTTTTTTTTTTTTCCTTAAGATTTATTTATTTACTTTATGCATGAGTGCTCTATCTGCAAGTATGACTTTGTGCCAGAAGAGGGCATCAGATCCCACTACAGATGATTGTGAGCCACCATGTGGTTGCTGGGAATTGAACTCAGGACCATCTGGAAGGGCAGCCAGTGCTCTTAACCTCTGAGTCATCTCTCCAGCCCACACAGCCTGCTTCTTCTAGAATCCAGGACCACCAGCCCAGGGATGGCACCACCCAGAATGGGCTGGGCCTTCTCCCTTCAATCATCCATTAAGAAAATGCCCAACAGGCCTGTCTGCTCACAGCCTGATCTTCCGAGGAGACACGGGTTCCCTCCTCTCAGGTGACTATAGCTAGTGTTTAAGATGACACAGAGCTAGCCTGCACAGCGGCCTTCTCCAAACCCGGTCTGACGGCGCTCAGAGATTCTCAGGGGTGTGTGGCGGCTTGTGTGCTCTGTGGTGAGTGACTGGTGGTTTTGAGGGCAGAGGGGAGGGATGGGGAGGAACTGGGGTGGCGGCAGAAGGGAATAGAAGGGGCAGTGGGGTGCGCTGTCTTTTTCTTTCTTTCTTTCTTTTTTCGAGACAGGGTTTCTCTGTGTAGCTTTGCGCCTTTCCTGGAACTGGATTTGTACACCAGGCTGGCCTTGAACTCACAGAGATCCGCCTGCCTCTGCCTCCCAAGTGCTGGGATTAAAGGCGTGAGCCACCACCTCCTGGCTGCACTGTTTTCTTACCCAGTAATGGCCAGCCAGTCATAAAGGAGGCACTCGCTGGAGAGCTGGATGCCTCCCTGCCCCAGGAGACCTTTAAGGCTTCTGTTCCTGGGGTGGGAGGCCGCAATTAGTAAAGTGAAATGTGAAAATGGTGAAGGATCAGATGACCTGTGCAGGGAGGGGGGCGGGGGAAGCAGACTGTAGCTGGAGGGCTTCTCTCCAGGTTCCCCAAGCCCTGCAGTCCCACAATCCACTTATAAAATAATCACTCAGACACTTATATCACTTATAAACTGTATGGCCGTGGCAGGCTTCTTGTTAATTGTTCTTTTATCTTAAATTAACCCATTTCTATAAATCTATACCTTGCCACGTGGCTGGTGGCTTACCGGCATCTTTACATGTTCTTATCCTGGCGGTGGCTGCAGTGTCTCTCCCCTCAGCCTTCCGCTTCCCAGAATTCTCCTCTCTCCTTGTCCCACCTACTTCCTGCCTGGCAACTGGCCATCAGTGTTTTATTTATATAGAGTGATATCCACAGCAGCAGACCGAGTTCCATCGGAGCCAGAGTGGAGCGGGGCAGGATGAGGAACTCCAAGTACTGAGTCACTGGGAAGGTGACCGAGCACAGACGTTTAGATGGGTATCCGATCAAACACCAGGGAAGGCTGGCCAGGCAGAGGACAAGGGATCAGAGGGCCCAAGCCACACAAGCCAATCTGGAAGAGAGAGGTAAGAGGAGGCAAATCAGAATCCTGCAGGACCCTGCCTGCCAGAGGCAAAGCAGGAATGCATGGGGTCCCTCGCCCTTGCTGGGTGTGCACTCTGTTAGGAGGCAGAGCAAGAGGGCCAGGGTGTGGCTCAGTGGTAAGCACTAACCCAGCATGGGCCTACCCAGCAGAGTAGCCTGAGATGACCCTGGACCCTTGCCAGGTAGCTGCTGAGTGTGAGTGTGCATTTTTATTAATATTTATTTACTTTATGTGCCTATGGATGTGCACCATGTGTACACCTGGTGCCTGGGAATCCAGAAGGAGGCGCTGGAGGTTCCGGGCAGTTGTGAGCCACCTCCACAAGAGCAGCAAGCACTCTGCTGAACCATCTCTCCAGCCCCAGGGGTGTTTTGGTCTGTCCCCCCCACCATCCCCACCACCCCTTCCCCAGACAAGGTGTCTCTGTGTAGCCCTGACCGTCGTAGAACTCACTCTGTAGACCAGGCTGGCCTTGAACTCACAGAGATCCTCCTGCCTCTGCCTCCCGTGTGCCACCATCGCCCAGCCCCAGGAGTGTTCTTAATGGCAGAGCCAACTCGAGTGCCTGGGGGACCACCAAGGGCCATCTTCTCAGTGCTTGGCTGTAAAAGCTGGAGTGAGAAGAGGCTCCTTGAAGGCTGACCTGGGGTCATCCCAAGCACAGCACGTGGAAGACCTGGGACGGTAGGGCGCAGGAACAAGGCTGTGACACCTCTGCTTGGCAGAGAGCTGAGCTCAAAGGTGGTGCTTCCTCTGTTTCCAAAGAGAAGAATAGAAACAGCATGGCTTGTATTTCCACGCCTAACTAGGTGCGAAAGGGATGTCGGTGGCAGACAACGCGAAGCCGCTTTCTACAGTGGGTCTGGGGTTGGCCTACTGTCGTGCCATGGAGAGCCGGAGTCCAACCCCAACATCCGCGGGCACTTAGGAGAAAAGGTCCAAAAGAGAGCAGGAGAGCCATAGCTTGGAGAACCCAAGTCTCCCCAGAGTCAGACAGCCCGTGCCACAGGGCCAGAGGCTGAACGCTGGGCGGGCAGAACACACCAAGTCTTCTGCACTCGTTGCCAGGGCTGCCTTGTTGTGGCAACAGAGTGGCCTGGAGCCGGTGGTGAGTCTGCCTGGACCTGACTGTGGGACCTGAAAGATCCCAGCCTGGTTGGGTGGGCACAGCTGGTGCCCCGGTGGAGAGACAGTGGAGGGGGTGGGGGAGGGGGAGGGGGCAGGAGCTGGGGCTCACGCCTGCTCTCAGGGCACCTGGACACCAGCTGTGTGGACCAAGAAAGGACCTCTGGCCTGATGGTAGGGCCTGAGGATGGCAGGCCTGGAGGTGAGGGCATTTACAGTACAGCCCTGGCTTTAGTGAAATGTCGTCGTCGTCGGATACGTAGTGGGGGAGGCGTCTTCTGCAGAATTAAATCGAGCTGCTCATGGCAGATTGCTGTTCCCCTTTAATTGAATGAAGATACAATTAAAGAAAAGTCAGGGGCCGGGGTTGTAGCCCAGTTATCAGAGTAGCTTCCTTAACAGGCACAAAGCCCTTGGTTTGATCCCCAGGACAGCAGAGACTGTGTGATGTCCCACACATGTCCTGCCAGCGCTGGGAAGGTGAGGCAGGAGAGTCGGGGGTTTAAGTCATCCTTGGCTATATAACGAATTAGAGGCCAGCCTGGGCTACGTAAGACCCTATCAGAGATATTTTTTATTACATTCCCTAAATACCCTTGGTGGTCATGTGGGCTCCCGCCCCCAGCACAGTGGCAATAAAGGGCAACAGTGTCAAACTACATCCCTCTCTTCCCATCAGTGTTCTGTGTGAGGCATCAACGCCCCACGCTCAGTCCTGGCTGGTTAAAAACCAGCCAACCAGGACTTCAGGCAGCGCATCTGGCCCTTGGAGGATGGCCAGGGGTGTCACCTGGCTCCCCAGTGAGTCTCCCATAGGAAGCACTTCCCAAGCTACTTCCATTACAAGTCGTCTGAAGATGCCCCGTCTGGCAACCTGTATCCATGTATGGTGCATGCTTTCTTCTTCTTCCTCCTCCTCTCTCGAAGATGCAGGATGGAGGAGAACTCCATGTCTGGAGTACGGGGGGAGGGGACAGACAGTTCCAGAGCAAAGTCAGTTCCCGATAAATCCGAAGAAAGCTGCAGTCTGACTTTCTGCATAGTTGAATCGTGTCTAGAGCGGTGCTGAGCAGTCAGGTAGCTGAAGCTGATATGGGGACTGGATAGGACACACCCCGTTCTGTTCTGTAGGGTCTTTTCAAGTCCATTGGTAAATGAGGCTTTGGGGATCTCCAGGGAGGCAGAGTGACCTACGGTATTGTGTTCACCCAGGAAAACCCATCCGACTGTGTAGCCAGGTGGCCTTGGGGATCAGTCAAGTCACAAGGCTGTAGCTAAGGTGCATGTGCCCCACGGCTGTTGCTCTGAGGGCCCTGCCCTTCACCCATGGGTCTCTCTCTTCAGCCAGGTGACGTCATTCCCTGTCTCCAGGCCTGCCCTGTGCTGAGTGTGTGTCCTCTCTTCACAGATGTAGCTCCTCAGACCATGGCCGCGGACCTCCACACTTACCACAAGGGCTTGCATCTGCCTCTCCTCAGCAGCCGCCTAGCACAAAGCCCTCACCAGCAGGTAATTGGAGAGGCCACAGAGGATATCAGAAACTGCATTAATTGGAAGGGACAGGTGTGACAGGTGTGCCCAGTGACTGAAGCCTGCATGTAGCACCTCCTAGTTGCTCTAGATCTTGGCCATAGAGGTGAAATATGCATGTAAATGTTAACACAGCTAAAACTCCTTACAGCTAAATAGTGTGTGTGTGTGTGTGTGTGTGTGTGTGTGTGTGTGTGTGTGTGTGTAAAATATCAAACCCAACTCCATGGCACCTACAAAGGTCCCAGCAAAACTGAGAAATCCACGGTTCTATTCTGGTTATGACCAGGATATGGCTGATCTGGACGTGGCTTGGTGGTTCCACCAGTGGAGAGCCCATGTGGCATCTGCCTCTTGGGTCCTCGTTCTTAGGGCTCTTGTTCCCACACTGCTCTCTCCAGGGTTCCTTGTTAGAGAGGAAAGTCTTAGGTGGCTCCTGAACATCTGGGGCCCAGAACACCCATCACTAGGCTATGTGACCTCTTCCTCCCTCTGTTCTGTAGTATTCATATCTGAGAGACCTATCTGATTCATACCCAGAGTTGGTGGCACCTTGGGCCATGTGGAGAGGAGCTGCAACCTGACCTCAGTCCTGGTGGTGAATCAGTCTTCTCAGATGCACCCAGACATAGGAGAGGGCTTTGGTGAGAAGATAGATGATCAGTCCTTCAGACAGAGGGACAAGCTCAGCCAGTTGGGGGTTTGGAGACACTTGGAGTTCTGTGAATCCTGGGTGGGGGGTTGAGGACATTTCCCTCTCATCACAGTTTCTAATGGAGCCCAAGTAGGGCCTGGCATGGCTTCCTTGTCAGTCTGGTCTCTACCTGGACACCCAATAGGTGAGATGTTGAGGCTGTCTTGCCTAAGTGGTCGGCGGAAGCACCGGGGACAGGCTAAGGCTGAGGATGTGTGTTGTGTGTGTGTGGCTTGTGTGTGTGTGTGTTCAGAACACTCTCTGGAGGGGTGCTTCCTGCCACTCCCCACCCCCAGGCCATGATGTGTGCAGCTGGAAACAGGGTCCAGAAAACAAGCAGGATACAGAAACACAACCCACTCACCACACCACAGCACATACTTGCAAGGAAGTCATCCTAGAAGCTGCAATGTTCCTCTCCAGTCACAGCCACAGCCTCAGGCTGAATGAATGCCTGTATCTGGAACCTGGCGGTCCTAGACCACCTCTGTATCCCATCAAATGGAACATTTTATTTTGCATCTTTATGGCCTGCCTGTCAAATTCACCATCTTCTTTCCCATTGCTGTCTCAAGAGTTCCCACCTTGTTACTATATTATATTCCTGGCCATTCGACCCTTATCCAGGCACCTCCACCTTGCACATCAGGGTCTCTTGGAGAGCTTTCGGGAAATACCTACAGTGGGGGCCTGACTCTTGACTTAAGTCAGAGTGTCTAGGAATGGTGCCTTGGACTTCAGTACTTTTAACCAAGCAGGGTTCGGGGGAGAGGGTGCAACAGGCCTGATAAGAGTCACCCCACCCTCCACAAACGGAGGTAGTCTGTTCAGCCATAGCAGCACCCCAGGGGAGTGGATGCAGCCGAGAGAATGTTCCTACTCCCGAGTGTGGGTTTTACCTCCTAAGCTGTGGTTCTTCAGAGCTGGGAGAGCGTGACTCCATTCCTGGGAAGTAGGTTCTCCAGACCCTTGGGGACCTCTCTCCTCCTCACCTGGCTCCGGCTGTACTGGACCACAGTGCCGTCCAGGGCGGCCTCACCATCGGGCATCATCTGCAGTTCCCCACTGCATTTCCTCTCATCCCTTCTCACTCACAGAACAGGATTGTTGCATCTGAATGTGAAGTTTCAGCCACAGGTCCATGTGTGTGAATATTTGGTCCCCGGCTGGGGGTGCTGTTTGAGGGGGCTGTGAAAGCCTTAGGGCAGCAGGCATGGTTGGTGGAGGTACATCGTGAGGGCAGGTCCTTGAGGGTCCGGGGCCCTTTCAGCCCTTCTGTCTGCCGCTGAGACGTGGGAAGACTCAAGCTCCCACTACCACTGTCTGAGCTGTTCTAACCGTCATGCGTGGCCGCCATGACGGACCCTCTGAGCCCGGAGCCAGAATAACTTGCTTCTGTGAGGTATTCGGTCACAGCAAGGAGAAGAGTTGTACTGAGTTTGGTCCTGCGTGGTGCCCGGACACATTCATTGACCAGGCATGTGACTGGTGACTCACGCTCCTTTCCCAGTCCATGTTCATGCTGGCGACTCCGATGCTAACACAGGAACTGTGTTGTGGGCTGTGGGTCATTTTCAGTGCCTGGAGCTCACAGGCCCTGGGATGGGGACTCATTGCTGAGTGCCCCGTCTCCTCCTTCCTGTCTCTAGTTTCTGACTTCAGAGTCCCTCTGCTAGAAAGCCCCTCTGTCCCGACGAGAGCTGCACTACTGTACAGCCCCTCTGCCAGGAGGCTTCAAGTGTTTGATTACACCAGTTAATGGCTTTTCAAGCTCAGTCGTGGATTCTCACAGGGGACCAGACCTCTTCCCTTCAACCTACAGGTGCCTCATACTGATGTGGCCAGCACTTCATTGTCCCTTTGCCTCCAGACTTCCAGTCCGCATCCTGCATGGGCAGCCCAGCTCCTGGATTATGCCTTCAACCTCAGGAGAGCCCTTGAGTTGCCTATGGAGGGTACTAGGGATTGAATGCAGAACTTTGTGCATTGCTAGTCAGCATTCTCCCGAGTGTATCTCCAAGCTAAGTCTTTTATATGCTATTTCATATGGTAGTTATATGATAAAAATTATCTTAAACCACATTTTAAATTTAGGTGAAACAAGAGACTTACAAAACGCATGCATGCCAACTTTTCCTAGTATTAGCTGGAGCAGTCAGTTTCTCTATTCAGTTTTCCATGAACATTCCTGACTGCCAATTTCTGTGCTTGTTTACCTTCTTGAGACCACACAGAATAGCGTCTAAGTGAAGCTAGGTCAGTCTTTCTGTGTGTGAGTGTGTGTGTGTGTTATCCTGATTCTTTCACATTCTTACCTTTATAATCAGGAGAACCTGCTCTTCCGTTTTATTTTTATGTTTAACAGTTTATATATGTCTGTGTCAGTGAGTGGGTTGGTGCACATGGGTGCAGTGCCGGAGGAGGCCAGAAGAGGGCATCAGATCCCCTGGAGCTGGAGTTACAGGCAAATGGGAGCACAAGTAGGATGCACGCTTCACTGCTGAGCCATCTCTCCAGCCCCACCCCTGCTTTTGATAAATGGAAAGAAAGAACTGACTTAAATTACTTGAATAAGTCTACTCTAAAGACCAGGTGTTTCAGGAAGACAGTATTAAGAAACCAGGCTCTGGGAGGCCATCAGACCATAAGGTACCCTCCTGAGAGGGGGGTCAAGGTCCTTGTAAGAGGACGCCTCATCAGTGCCCTCTCCTCTCTTGCTCTGTGCCATTCAGGAGTGTGGCTATGGCCATCACCACACACTAGGTGCTCATGCTGTTCTTGCATCCCGAGCCTCAGAGCTGATGAGACAGACTTCTGTCCTTTCAGAATTATCCAGTGTGTGTGACTCTGTGGTCGCCCCACAGATCTTTTCCCGAGGCTTCATTTTCTTTTTGTCATTTAACCTCACCTGTCTCGTTTTCCTCTGTAATTTTTCCATTGAAATGATTAGTTTTCAAGCTAGATGTGGTGGTACACACCTTTGATCCCACTACTTGAGGCAGAGGCAGGTAGATATCTGAGTTTGAGTCCAGCCTGTAGTCTACAGAGTGAGTTCTAGGTCAGCCAGGGCTATACAGAGAAACCCTGTTTCAAGAAAACAAAACAAAACTTTGTTTCCAACAGTGCCCCTTTGTTCCCCCTGGACCTCGGACATTGATGTCAGTGTGCACAAGTGTGAGCTTGCCTTCTTTGGCTCCTGGGGCATGACCCATGCTTCAGTGAGGCTCCCAGCTTCAATGTGGTCTTGGAGTCTGTTTGGGAACACACTCCATTTGCTTAGGAGGAGATGTGCATAGTCCTTGCTGCCCCACCCAAGACCCGGCGGCACCTCTGGACAGTCACATCCACCTGGTGTGTGCAGATAGACCCCTGTTTTCATTCTTAATAAATTTTACTCAGCAAATGTTTACTGTATTCTTTCCAGTGCCAAGCACGTGAAGAAATCGGGTTATGGCAGTTCCACTGTTTGTACCCAGAAGTGCTAAATTCTGGATTAAAAAAAGCAAAAAATACCCACCAGTCAATTAGAAGGCTGTTGACTGGCTCACAGAGTGGGTGAGGGGTCTAGAGAGCTTGCTTGGAGAAAAGGCCAGGGTCATACAAATTCTATACCATGCCAGTGTGCACTTGGGATGAGTTGGAGATGATAACAGCTGATGTAAACAGCAGTGGCGGACCTGGAGAGGAGGGGTGATTTTGAAACTACCTGCTGGACAGCACGCATTAGTACTGGAGGCTGGCCAGGTGGCGGTGGCACACACCTTTAATCCCAGAATTTAGGAGGCAGAGGCATGCAGATCTCTGAGTTTAAAGCCAGCCTGGTCTACAGGTGAGTTCCAGGACAGCCAGGGCTACACAGTGAGCCTTATCTCAGAAAAACAAATAAATAAAACAAAAAGCCCTGGAGACTGACGATTGGAGGGGAAGGGATGAAAGAGCGTCAGATGGCCCTAATTTTCTGTCATGGTGGAGAGGGGACATTTTGGGAAGATCCAAACTTGATCTTGGATTTCAGGAGGGTCCAGAGCCTCCCCAGTGGGTGTAAGTCTGAGTGAGATGGTGTCCAGGGCTTGACATGGATGTGGAGTTGTGAGAATCCTGGAGAACAGAAGAGAAGGAGCGCCGAGCCCCAAGGGAGAGTGGAGAGAGGGAACTGGGGTCGGTAAAGCCTGAGACTGACTTGCAGGAAGCAGGCTGAGGATGACAGGGAGGAAGAGTCGGAGGTGGTGGGACTCATGGGGGCAGGGGAATTATCCCTCTGTGAGCAGAGATGACGTAAAATGAA